TACCTTCAATTTTTTAAACTTTGACATTTTGTTTTTTTATTTTTTTTCAATTACCAAGCATTGATCTTTTTCCTCCCTTCCATCTCCCTCCTCACTGACAGAAAAAAGGAAACATATACATCTTATATCCTATAAGCACAATCAAACAGTCACATCTAAAACTGTATTTCTTATGCTACTTATTAGTCCACTATCTCTCTATCATGAGTTGGACAGTGTTTGTTTTTTTTTTTAATTAGTACTCTGGAATCATGGTTGATCATTTAGCTTATTAGAATTCTTAAGTCCTTTCAAAATTGTTTATTTTTATAATGCTGATACAATATAAATTGTTCAACTAGTCCTGCCTACTTTACTTATCATCAGTTTATAGAACTTTCCAAGTCTCTTTGAAACTATATTTTTGCTCACTTCTTACAGCATTCTATTAATTCATATACCACAGTTTTATTCAGCCATTCATCAGTTCGCGGGCATTCCCTTAGTTTCTAATTTTTTTTTTAACCACCAAAAGTAGTTGCTAAAAATATGTTTTTACATATAGGACCTTTTCCTCTTTAGGATTAGGCTGAGCAATGATATAGCTAAGTCAAAAGGCATGACTGCACTGCTTGGTAACTTTCTATGCATAATGCCAAATTGCTTCACAGAATTGTTTGGATCCATCCACAGTATCTACCACAATGCATCAATGGGCCTGTTTTCCCACATCTCCACCAACACTTGTCACTTTCTATTTTTGGCATTGCTGCCAATCTGATGTGAGGTAGAACCTGAGAATTACTTTAATTCTGCATTTCTCTATTAGTGATAAGGAACATTTTTTCATATGGCTAAAGACAGTATAGGTTGGCATTCCTCTTTTGAGAACTGTCTCAAATTCATAGCCATACACCATTTAGCAACTAAAGTAGGGTTCTTATTCTTCTAAATTTGAAATCAATTCCATATACATCTTAGAAACCAGACCATATCAGAGAGAAACTTGCTATAAATATTTTCCCCCAGCTAATTGTTTCTTTTCTAATATTAGTTATGTTAGATTTGCTTGTGCAAAAAATTTAATTTTATGTAATCAAAATGATCAATTTTATCTTCTGTGATTCTTTCTATCCTTTCCTCTATCCAAAGATCTAATAAGTTATTTCTTCCTTGTTTCTCTATTTTTTTTTTTAATGATGTGACTTTTTGTATCGAGGTCATGTATCTATTTGAAGCTTACTTTATTATGAGGTGTTGGTCTAACCCTAATTTGTTACATACTGGGATCAAATTTTTTCAGTTTTTTTTACCTGCCCTTTTATATTGAGGTTGTATCTCTATTTGGAACATATTGTAATAAATGGTATAAGATGCCGGTATAAAACTAATTGTTATGGTAAAACTTGTTTCCAGTTTTTAAAAAATAAATTTTATTGATATTTTTTGCTTTTGTAAGATTTTCCCTTGTACCTCTTCTCCTCTCAGAAAGCTTTCCCTTTTAATATTAATTTTTTAAAAGTGGAAAAGAAAAAAAAGATTAACAAAATTAACCAATACATCATAAAAAAAAACTGATGTCATATACATTGTTCCATACCCGTAGGACTCTCTCTCCTCTTTCTTTCCTCCCTGCAAAGGAGAGGTGTCTTTCCATATCTCTTCTTAGTGGCTAAGTTTGTTCTTTATAATTTCACATCACACAGTTTTGATTGCTTCCTAGTGGTAGTTCTTTTCTATTTAAATTGCTTGGTGCCTGACACATCATTACTACTTATTAAATGTTAGTTGGGGGCAGCTAGGTGGCACAGTGAATACTGCACTCAGCTTGTAATACGAAAGACTCATCTTTTCAAGGTCAAATCTGACCTCAGACATTTACTAGCTATGCGATCCTGGACAAGCCACTTAACTGTGTTTGACTCAGTTTCCTCATGTGTAAAATGAACTGGAGAAGGAAATGGCAAACAACTCAAGTATCTTTGCTAAGAAAACCTCAAATGGAGTCATGAAGAGGTAGACATGACTGAAAACAAATGGACAACAAAATGCTACTGGATGACAATGCAGTTATTGTATATGCTTTTTCCTGGCTCTTTACTTCACTTTGCATCGGTTCATATACTTCTTTCCATGCTTTTCTGTCTTCATTATGCTGGTTGTTTCTTATGTTATAACATTTAACATTACATTATAATCACGTACCTCTCCAATCACTGAGCATTTAGAACTATGTTTCCTATCACAACATGTACTGTTTGAAATATTCTGGTGTACATGGAGCCTCCTGAGCATTTTTTTGTTGAACATGGAGTATTTTCCTTGGGTTTATCATACATTGGACTGAGTCCATGTATTTCTGATTCCTTTTCATTTAGTTCATTTGATGGACTTTTTTTTAAAATCAGTATCATTCAGTTTAAATAATTAGTGACGATAATATCATGTAGTTTGATGTCTAGAAGAACCTCTTAATTCCTACTTTTCTCCTTTTCTTCTGTGAGATTCAAGACCTTATGTTCCTTCAAGGAATTTTATAATTGTTTTGTCTAGCTCTATAAAACTAACTCCTTGCTAGTTTAAGAAGCATAGAACTAAATCTATAAAGTAATTTAGGTATTATTGTAATTTTCATTATATTGGCAAACAACAACCATAAGCAATGAACACATCCCTTCAACAATTGGTTTTCCTTTATTTCTACAGTGCTTTGAAACTGTATTTAACAAGTTATAATAGATGGACTCCGGGAGGTTTTATGCATCATACATACTGTTTTCCTGGCTTTTTTTATTTTTCAATTAACTTTTTTTTTCTCTCTCTCCCAACCCCACCAATTTGAAAGAAAAAATGAAGCCTTTATAACAAATACATAATTAGGCAAAGTAAATTCTCATATTGTCCATGTCCAAAAATGTGTATCTCATTCTGTGTCCAGAATCCATTCTCTTTCTCCAAAGAAGTGAGTAACAAAAATCTTCATTAGTCTCCTGGAAATAGGGTTGGTCACTGCACTGATCAGAGATTTCAGACCCCTGTAAATTACATGCTTTTAAAACATTGTTCTTATTATATCAATTGTTCTGCTTTTTTCACTCTGCATCAGTTTATATATATATATTCATATCCCTTTCATTTATTCCATTTCACCCACACCAGAAATTTAGAACCATTCCCCAACTGATGGACAATTCTTTTGTTTTCCATTTCTTTGGCATTTTGTATTTATTTTGAATGAAAATTCTCTTACTGTTACTTTTCCTAGTTTTTGACATTATGATGTGGAAAAGTAGATTTTTTTGCTTTATTTCATATCCTGTCACAATCTAAAATGATTTCAATATCACTGCTGATTCTCTGCAGTTTTGTAAGTAAATTATTATGTCTGCAAATCATGATTTTGTTTCCTTTTTGCTGATGTTTATACTTTTGATTGCTCTTTATTTTCTTACTGTCATCACTAGCATTTCTAAAATTATACCAAATAATAGTGGAGAGAGGCCAATCAATTCCTTTACCCCTGTATTTATCAAGACTGTTCAATATTTCTCTGCCATCTTTATTATACATACCATACTTTATGTATTTGAGAACAGGGCCTTTATTGCTTTTCATGCTAAGTTCAGAGAAACTCACAACATTTAAATAAAATGGAGGTACTTTTCAGAACTGTGACTGAGAGGGCAGTTATTAACCAAAAAAGGGATACAGGTGATAATAAGATAAAATAGACAATTTAAAGGTCATGAAATTGAAGAGCTTTTGCATAACTGATTTGTTTATTGCTACTTCCCTTTGTAGATTTTTCTCTGGTGAAATTTCAGGACCTCTCTACTCTTGTTCTTTTTCCTACTTTTTAACTGCTAAAATCTACAGCTAGGCTTCTTTACTTGGAATTCATGAACTCTGAAAGGTCTATAGATAGATTTTAGGGGTCCACGAATTGATTTTAACATAATTTGCTCCCTTGGTAATCTTATGAAATTCATTTTGTGCATTTATAAACATTTTTTTAAATAAGAGCTCCCTGGGCTTCCCCAGACTGCCAAAAAGGTCCACAACACAAAAAAAGGTTTATAGATTTCTCTTCTGATGTCACTTGTGGATCTAAATCAACATTAGAAGATAGGAAATTATGTCTCTGCCTGAGAGGGACCAGCTCCCACCATGAAGAGTTTTATAACCATTATTTAATTCCAAATAATCAGGAGTCTTTCTTTCCCTTCCCTACCTACACCACTCCTTGTCTGGCCCTGACTTCTCATTTTATCTCTGGCTTAGTCACAACTAGGGCTACTGCTCTGACTCAAGTAGGCAGACGCTGGGACAAGGGACCACGACCAGGGGATCACATTCACTCCCTTTTTCCTATAGACATACACATGTCTACAAATCAATAATAATAAGTCATATTTACATAATTCTTTAAAACTTGCAAATTGTTTTTCTCAAAACAACCCTGAGAAAATGTATTATTACTATTCATTATGCCATGAATAAGGAAGCTGAAGATCTAAAAGTTGTGACTTGCCTCAACCAAGCATCTGAATTCAAAACCAGACTTCTCTGTTGATAACTCAAAATAAATTAATAAAAAACAAATAAAATAAAATAAAATAAAACAAAACCAGCTCTCTTATTCCAAGTCTAGCATTTTTTCCATTATGCCATACTAATTCTCAATATTTCAAAAGATACTTCATTGGTGGATATGTATCTTTTAATGATCCACATTTCTGGACTTAGTCACATATTGTCTTCATGAGTCCTTAATTACAATGGCTGAAAAAATTCAGGACCTGGTAACCAACTTCCTAGGATGAGTTTCTGAACTTAGGTTGTTCACTTAATGGTATGTATGTATCAATGGCTCAAAGAGATTTAGACTCCCCTGGAAGTTGTACATCTCTATCTCTTTTGTCCCACATCACATACCTATAATATTTGGCTTAGGGAATTACTTATGTCTAAGTAACTTAGGAAAGCTGGGTGAAGTCATAATAATTCTACAAGGCACTCACCACACTTGTGTTACTGGAATTCTTCAGGTGGTTGTGTAGGAGTTTGGTGGCACCATCCTGGAATGTTTTTGGCAAGGCACCAAGTAACATTGTAAACTCTGGAGTGTTCAGTTCAAACAGAGAAATCAGAACAATTTGTGCTGCCTAAAAAAGAAAATTAAAGTAGTTATTAATCGGATTATAATAGTGATTTATTTTTAAATATTTTATATTTTAAAATATAAATATTTTAAAATTGTTTTAAAAAAAAAAAACAATCTGACCAAGCCTTTAAAAAGAGAAAACATTTTTATCAATAAGATATAATTACCCATAACGGGAATCCTTTGACTTAAAAGAGGAGAAAAAAACAAAAGAAAAAAAAACACCTACAGAAAATATCACCAACCATTCAAGAATCTGCCTTCAGTCTAGACTACATAAGATATGATGATCATTTTAGCATCCTGAATTTCTTCTTCTTTCAAGCATCATGGAAGAGAACTGGTAAATACAGAAAGCAAACCAAACAAACCTCAAGGACCCTTTCTCTTTTTTAAGTCCCATTTCAGAATTACAACCAGCCTTTCAGGAAGAAAATGTGAGGTAGAGACTGGATGCAGACTGGAAAAATGAATTCTTATTAACATGTTCCTGCTTGGCTGTAGTACAGGCACCATCCTTTTAACTTCTCAGGATGCCCCAAGAACAATTCTGGAGAATCATCCTTAAATACTGAGCAACAATGAAGAAACAAGAATGTCATCAAAAACATTCAGAGTGTACACAGTATAATCTCTGCTTATGTTAGAGAGAGTGGCTGTTTTGAGAATGTTCTATTTTTCTTCATTAATTTGATTTAATTTTTTTTAAATTTTTTTGTTTTTTAGGCAATTGGGGTTAAGTGACTTGCCTAGGGTCACACAGCTAGTAAGTGACAAGTGTTTGGTCTGAGGCTGGATTTGAACTCAGGTCCTCCTGACTTCAGGGTCGGTGCTCTATCCATGCGCTACCTAGCTGCCCCCCTTCATTAATTTGAGGGGAAAAAACTGCAGGCTTCCTTGGAAAGACAGCAAAGTAGTAGCAAAAGTAGGTTGCGAAAGCAATGGCAATAGCTCCAGAATTCAAGCTTCATCTAAATAGCGAAGATTTATTTCAGCAAGGCATTGTAATGCAACTTTACCAATGAGAATTTGGAAGTACGTAATTTGGAACATTAAAAGAGGACACCTCAGAGAACAGCTCTGATTACAGGAACTTGGAAAATCATACCAAAATAAAATTGTAACAAATACTTGGGGTTTCTTACAAATTTCCAGAATTTTCCAGATAAAAAAGTTGGCAGGAGGAAAGCCATGATTCAGAACAAAAACTGTGGCGTCTTAATGTGTAAGTTGTTTTTTCCACGTGGCATAAAATACATCACGTAGAGGGAGTTTCCACAGAACCAGACCAGACAAAACACTGCTCATTTGAATACTACAATAAGTATTTTGGAAAACAATTTCATGTATGGCACTGAATTTTTAGATAAACTACCACATAGGGAAATGTTCTATCAAATCAAAGGCATAAAATACTGCAAAGCCATTATAGTTTTCAAATCCTAGGTCCAAGACAAAATATTTATTTTGTTTCAGAGGAGAACAAAGTCAGGGCACCATGCAGTCAGTCCCTACTATAAATAAAACAACACAACAAAAGCACAATGTTTCCTTTCTTGACAATCCAAACACACTAAAGAAGCAGTTTTTCCACACAAATAATAGAGGGAGGCCTGTTTTTATGACATAGAACAAATGCAATTTTTCTGATTACAGTGAAATATGAATTTTGACATCACATTAACATATTTTAATTTAGTCATAATTACAAAGGAAAGCTTCCCTAACATGCTATTTTTAGAAATACTCATAGCATAATGCTATGTTAGTACAACAAACAGTTCAAAGAAAACCCGTGCAAGCCCTATTTGGGATACCTAGGGCATTTTGTTAGCAAAAATGTCATGCAGAAAAACTGCACACTTCAAGAAGGATAAGAGAAGAAGCAGGCTTTAGCATTAGCATTGAAAACATATCAACGTAGCTGCTATTTTTAAAAGCTAAGTTTATAGTTTCACTTTGATTTAAAGTAACATTTGGAAGCAGAGATGTTAGTTTGAATTCTTTAAATGTTACATTTTCAATTACACGTGCGACTGTATTAATTTAAAAGACCATAAATTCTTCCTGGGAAAAGACCCAAATGCCACAAATGGGCTTCAGTTCTTCATGTACTAACCTAGGAAATCAATGACATCATTCAGGAAATGAAGGGCAGCAAAACTGGTCCCAAATCTAGAAGCTGGTCAGGAAAGTTTGCTGATGATTGATATTGTAATTGTTTTACTAATGTGAAAAAAGCGGAAAATCCTATACACTTTAACATACGCCTATAAAGAATCCTTTCTTGATAATCCTAAAATTGAATCTTAATGTAAAAACATCCAACTAAGGAAAAAAAGTGACATGGGAGATAAAACTAAATGGAAAGACAAAAAAATTGTCATGATTCAAGAACTATATTTCAAATATTTATTAGTTTTCTCGTATGCTTCACACACAGCAGGCCATTTAGAGTCTGTAAGCACTACTGCTGATAGATAATAGAACTGGCACCAAGAAATCAATCTGTCATCAACTAGTCATCTGCTCTTAGTCATCTGCTTGTTTGTAAGATTTCTTGTCCTATGACCAAGGTCATATGCAACAAGAACAACAAATCATAATTATAGTAAGATTTTTGTATAGTTGTAGGCTTTTGTTTTTGTTTAGTAGGGAGAGGGATTAAATCTCTTTTCCCTCTTAAAAGTTTATTCTTGCTATAATAAAATTTAGGACTGTATTATTCTAAGTGCCAATCACAATATAAAGAAATATTTTGGATCTTCTGGTTCTAAGGAAGAACCAAATTTGGGGGAGGCTGAGGGCACACAGAGTATAACAATAAGCCTGGTTGATGTAGTTTTCCCAAGGCACAATTCAATTGAAAGCTCTTTCAAAAATCACCACAATGTTCTTTTTCTAAGCCCTTGAAAGAAGTGGAAACTAGGGACACTGATTCAGTTTCAAACTCTGACAATCTCTTAGCATGTTAACTTGTATAAAGATCTTATTTATAAAATACAGAATTTTAAGAGGAAAGATATATATTTAAAGCTAATGTTTTAAATCTAATGTATTTTCACTTAAGAGTCAAATGAGATATTTTTGGGGGGGGGCGGGAGAGAGAGGAAAAGTGGCAGAAAAGGCAATGGGATTGAACGAAGGAGAATAATTGGGTGAGACGATTTATTTCCAAAGAGATAAACGTGCATTTTTAAAAGACTAATGTGACATTCTCATCCAATTAGCTGCCACTCACTCTTCTACATGTAGTCTGACCTTTATAAATTATTGACTTCCAAAAGGGATACCACCCAACCATATAAGCAGCAAGAGAATCCCAATTTGGTGTTGAATTTTCCTAATGGTGATCTTCTGGGTTATTTCTTCTATAGATGATGAGATGGTAAAGTTAGGCAGAGTTCCTACAGTCTTTGTCTACACAAGTTTTATACATTGGGAGCTTTTCTGATGTACCACCTAATGGTACTACTTCATTCACTGTCTAGAAACCACTCAATCATCTTAACTGCTGTTTAAACTTTGTAGTAGAATGGATTTCTTTATAAAGGATGTAGAAGGCTGCTATGAACTGACATGGAAAACTATTTTGGTGATGGTACTACTTTGAGAAAACAGAAGGAAGAGAGAATTTTAAAATTTAATAAACTTTGTGCTTTCACTTCAGAATACCCGAAAAGCTGCAGTCCATTAAAGGCCTGTCACTGGCAATCATTTCTTAAAGAGATTATTTAAGAAATTCTCTCATACTTGAAGTAGAAAGAACATATCTTTTTATCAACGTTTTAAGGACCAGATTCAGACCCACTAAAGCTGATCTTTTATTAATAAGATGAATTTTCTGATGTGGATAGTAATGAATTTCTTTTATCTCTTGAGGTATCTCTTGGGACCTGCTTTTAGCAATAATTATTTCACTGTGACAAGTTAATCATAAAACAATATACTGAGAGATGCAAACTCATATACACACACAGACACACAAAGTATTTATATTAACATTTTAGGTTTCTTCATAATCTTTCCAGTTTCTTCACAAGCCTGATCTGTATTAGGAGTCTAAAACGCAAACGTAACAGTATGTTTTTAAAAATTAGTGTACACAGCTTTTAGTCTACCTGTTTACATTTTTCTTCCAAGTTTCCTTCTCCAGGCCCAGAGGTTGAAGCTGACCTAGCTGGGAAATCCTCACCTACCCGACTATGCTGTAGCTGAGGCTGACAAACAGGAAAGGCAATATTGTTTAATCAAAGAGAAAAGGCAAGTTTTTAAACTATGGTTATTGGTTAAACATAATTTTTAAAAATTTTTACATGAAAACATTATCTAAACATACTATATTTTCTAATTAGACATGACAAAAATGCATCAAATATTTAATGACTGTCCTTCAATAATAACGTTCTACCCTAAACTATAAACTGTCTCGAAAGCCCTAAAGTTTCTCCATTATTCCCACTGTTGGTTGCATTATCAGCACTTTATAGACTTCTTTACTTTACCTACATATTCTTAGATTTATGGGCTAAATCTGTTATTTCATTTATTAAATTCAAGGTTATATTTCATAAATACTCTGAATCCACTTGCCATTGATTTTTTAGTTGGAAGAGTTCAACATTCAACAAAAACTTTCATTAACACCTTATCTCTCCATTTCACTGCATTTTACAATGGTCTAAAATGATCAAAGGCCTTATTTTCCCGACTTTAAAGAAAATCTAAAAATTTACCCATGTCCTTACTGGGTTTTCTTGGAAACTTCTATCTTAAATAGTTACCATTTTTAAAATTCATATCTCATATTGTTGAGTTTTTTGTTTTTTTTTAAATGGGACCTGAGATTTGATCAGTGCAATCCAGTCCCTCTACCAATGCAGGTCAGATCTGGCACCTGCAAGAGGCTGCCTGGAACAGAGAAGAGAAAGCGGGTCTTGGAACCAGAAGCACCTTGGTTCAAGTCCTACCTCTGACACTGAATTACTGTATGACCCTGAA